TCAACAGTAATCGATTCATTTAATAATTTTTTCCATAATAAAATCGGAAATTTGACATTTAAATAATGTTTCTCTCTTATAGCCATACCAAATAATTGTCCAACAAAACGATAGTGTTTTATATTTATTTGAAATTGATTTATTAGGTGGAAAAACATTTGGAATCCAACAATCTCGATTTAAATCGCTATTCATACGTCCATTTGGGTATAAAATAAACAATGATAATCGTGAAGAACATATATCCGAATAAATACGAGTTATTGAATCACGATATAGTCTACCATGGTCAGTACTATGCATTCCAATATATTGTGCATGCCAAAGTTGTTCATTCGATCGTCGAAATGTGATATGAGCATTTGTATGCAATTGTTGATAAGCTTGATAGAGCATTGTATTTTCACTGTTGTCACTATTTGAATTAGCTTTAATTATATCAAAATTAACTATATTCCAATCACCATTATATTCAACTTCGGTTTTTTCTAAAGATTTTGCTAATAATTGAAATTTTGTTGACGATAATAAGTAAGATTTTATTATTCGAATTTGATCAGTGAAAAAACTTTGTCTTAATGGTAAACTAAGATCAACTATTGGAAGACTTTTTTCAATGAATTTCTTTAAAATATAAAAAAATTGAGATCGAATTTGAATAGAATCAGATGGAATATTTGATAAAGATAGATAATTTTTATAGAATGCTGCATTCGATTGAGTTTCTTTTGGAAGATTTTGAATGAATTTAGAAAATGAATCATTAAGTGACTGATCATTATGCATTAAATTGATTAGATCTTGATCAGCGTTAGTATTAAAATGATTATTAGATTTGTTATAATCATCTTGATTTAATTTAAAATTATTACCTAAAATATCATTTGACTGTTGAAAAAAAGCTTCAGGTAATAATGTTTGTTTTGTTGGATCACGGCAAGCAATAATAATCTTAATTGTTGTATATAAATCTTGAATCTGTTCGGGAAGTTTTGATTCAATATTTTGAATTTCATTGCTATCGTCAATATATTGATTTTTTTGTTTTGTTAATAAAACAAGAGTGTGGGTGTGTGTAGTCTCGAAAAAGAGAAGTGCACCGACACCCACACCCGGCCACGGCCGTGACCGTGCGTGACTTTTTTCAAAGATCGTGACCGTGGTCGTGACCGTGACTGAAGCTTGGTCAAGGTCAGTCATGGGAACTTTGTCGAAATTTTGCAAAGCTCTGAGAGGTAGTAGGGGAACCTATTAGCACTGGTTATATAGCTTATTAAGAAGAAAAAAAGATGTATAGGTTCAACAATTGCAACGATAAAAAAAGAATCTTGTATATATATGGTAGTAGAATCACGCCATATGTAGAATGAAAGATTATCGAAAGGTGATCACACCATATAAAAAGACAGATCATAATGTGATTAAGACGATGAGGTGATAACAGTGTCGTCGAGAGTTACCTCGATAATAGAACCTTCGCGAAGCTTCCCCTCCCCACTCATCGTTTTTTATGAAAAATTGGGAAGTTTCTAGTATTAGTGGTTTTGAAAACCCCTGAGAGAGAGTACGGGCACCCACACCCGAAATTGCCCTCTCCCCTCTCGACCATCACTTCTAATAGTAAACAGAAACTTTGCAATAGCTCTTTCTGGAAAGTTTTTTTCATGTTGAAGAACCAGAAAGAGGGGCCGTGACTCACGGTCACGGTCACGGGCTGGGCTCACCATGACCGTGATCGTGACCGTGACTAACCCCTTGTGACCGTGACCAAAAACGTTGGTCACGCCGGGCACTAGTCTGGATGCATCCCTATTCTAATCAATGAATTCTTACATTCATGATCACCATCACTTGAATCCTCTTGATTTTCAGTTGTTTGTCTATGAATAGTCTTTCTTTATTTAAGTTTGGTGTCACTAGTTTCACGTTCATCTTCATCAGTTAATATCAATGCATCTTGCAGTTTTTCATTTGATTTATCATAATCTTCATCTACAATAGAAGTTATAAAAATAAAAATTTATATTCAAATTTTTTTAACCTTCTTCATTTTCATTAATTCAATCTTCAGAATCAATTATTTTAAAAGAATCCTTGTTTTTAGTTTTTGATTCATTTTCTTTTCTAATTTGATGTTGTAAGAACCATTGACTGAAATGTCTATGCCGTTATTCATATGGTTTTTCAGTTCGTTGAAATTAAAGGTGTTTATAAACATATTTTGATATAAATGCATATCAATCATCAACAGGATATGCTTCAAAACCATCTTTATTTTGTAAAAATACATAATAAGACGAATTTATTGTGGAACCACCTTCTTTTAATCCTCGATAATGTTTTAATTTATTTTTTTGTCGATGAATGATCTGCTAATAACCAAGAAAGATCTTCAATATTTATTTCTTTAGTTAAATAAAGTTTTTGTTTTAATGCTTCTTTTTGTTCACGATCATATTCATTTTCTATACCGATTTTAGGTAAAACAATACTAAGTTATGTTGTGAATAATTTTGATGTTGATGAGACATTAGGATCAAGATCGATTGCTGAACGATATGTACACGGATTAATTTCACGTTTCATGTCACTTGCTTTCAAATCTTATGTCAATTGATAGACTACTTGCAAATTCCAGAATTCCATATAAAGCTGGAGTTATACAAATGAAAGGTGATAGGTTAGGTTACATTTAAGTTCGGAAAAATTCATTATCGATATTAAACATCTTAGTAAGAATTAGTTTATTCGTTACAATGAAATTCCATTTTAATTCAGATAGTTGATTAGGTGATAAGAATGTGACTTAGTTAGATACTGTAACAGAATATTCTCTAGATGCAGCTGTTTCGGGTTATGATGTTGTTTAAATTGTAGCAGATCCTGTAGGTATTTCGGTTGAATGTAGTCCAAATATAATAGTCTCTGATTATGGTGCCATTAGACCTAGCCCTTAGTTCATGTTTTTTCTTCCTTCTTATGATATGTTATTGATTTGATACATTCAGTTAGAGGAGAAAGTCGTTTCATTCGTCTTATCAATAGTGGGATGCGTTTTTTTTTCTGTCGCTACCCAGATACTATTCGGTTCGATAGAGAAATGTAAAAAACTGATTGTAATTTATTTCCAATAAAATTAAGGTAATGAACAAAGATGTCATATTCCTGTTACCAACAACTCTCATTTTTGATAAAAAGCATCATTGATAAAGCTATGTCTATAGAAACCATGAACTTAAAGGCTCTCTGTTAAGAAAGGATAATTTATTTTTCACGTGTACTTCACTTGTTTGAGATGAAATCTCGAATATATTATGAAATTTCGTACCAAGAATAATGATATACTTATCCCTTTTCGTCTGTAATAACAACAAATAATGAGGATCTGAGAAATCTTGATGATTATGAAAAAATAGTTCAGAGCTGTCGTATATATATGAAGAAGTTCGATTTTTTTTTCTGTTTCATTTCTTGAGTTTTGACGCTCGATTTAATGTTATAGATAGGTCAAAAACAAAAACAGCAGAATGATAAAATGCTTTATACTAGCCAGTTTGACTGTTACAAAAATATTTTGTTCCAAAATATTCTGTGGAAAAGTTGTCGCAAAACTACGAAGTAGTACATCATGTTTAGCATGAAAATTCCGATTTTTGTATCAATAAATTATCTTGTAAAGCCTATTTGAATTCATTCATAATTTGAGTGTATAGGGCACTCATACATCTGGCAATGAAAGCGTTAAACATCAGCCCGTTAGATAGCTTCCGCTTAATACATACTCTTGTATTTAACAACTGAGAACACTAACATTTGCACGATACATTCAAAAGTAAATGCAACATGTTCTTGTTGTTGTGTGGAATTGGAATCAAACCGGTTTCTATTCCATATTTAGTTCTGTTCTAACAAGCTTTTGATGACAATGTAAGTATAAATCTGACTTACGAACTCAATTGATCGCTGTTTGACTTGAACAGTATAAGTCTGATCTCAAACATTCTAAAAACTAAGGTTAAAAGACTTTACTTTATCGTATTATAGCTCCTTGTTTTATCTCATTATCTTGCTACATTCAATCTTTCTTTCAACTTTTGTTTTGTTTCTCAGAACTATATGCATGATTTCTACTGATTTGAATATGATTGTCTACGCACTACTTCATTCAGTTTTTTCATGTTGATAGTGTCCGATAATCGATGCCAGAAAGAAAAGACATATGCAACATAAAAACAATTCATATCTACAAACTGGTATTTCGAATTGAGTTCTCTAAAAAATAATGAGTACATGTTTATTTTTTAGCTATGCAGTAAGTATCCAAAACATATCAGACACCAATCCTGCAAATATCGAATTACTATCAGCAGTAAATCGTACTATGTGTAAAAGCTCAGGGCCAAATCGCGTTGCTGTGAACAACTGGCGGTTCACTACAATTAATCGCTTACAATAATTGGTGAGTAGCGCATAAAAACAAAAATTGTGCATTAGTAGTTACGAAGAGTATAGTTTCCTCATTTCTCATAGATTCAAAAACCTAATAGCCTGGTTCTGCATATAAATTATACTTATACTCATTCAGTAGCGAAGTGAACACAATACTAAAAGAAAAGAAAAATTTTTTTTTGGAGATTGTTGTTCGTAAAATTTTCAAATAGTGTCTAAGACTATCAAAACTGAGTAGTCAAGACGAGACTTATCTTCTATATATTGTGCGTTTAGAGAGGACCGACGCTAGTTAGAGAACACTAGATTCTCCCATTGCGATCAATAAGACATCAAGAGAAACCCGTAAACTTGATCTAGGTTAGCAGACATTTTCATGTTTTATTGATGTTTCAAATGGATTCAGTTTGCTAATATCACCTGATGCACATCCAACTGTGAATGAAATGTGAGAATTCAACAATTTTCAATAAAAAAAATTACGAGCATACCGCCGTTAACTGGCAAATATCAATGGTTTTCATCATATGAAGACATACACATTTTTATTGAATAGTAGAACTGTAACAATGACGACACAACATCGCGTCATTAAGTGTAAAGACGATTTCAATTTAATATGAGTTAAAGATTGAAAAATTTATCTAACAATCAATTCATGGTAAAAATTCTAACACAGTAAATACTAGGTCTGAAATAATCACTGAATTAAATTATCCATTATGTAAATGATTTTCGGAATTAGAACTAAATCGTTAGAATGTCGAATAAAGGTAAATTCAACTCAATGATTATTTAAAACCATCCAACATTGTACATATTGCCACAGTGACACCAATACGCAAAATTAATAGGAGTTTTAGCTTCCAGTTTCTTGCCGTATGTTAGAAAACTAGATATAAAATGTATATCATTCTCAAATACAAATTTAGAAAAAAACTGTGGTATGTTGCAATGTATTGAGCATAAAAGTGCGGTATTGAATGTAGCCGTTGTAATCTCTTTCAAATACAACAGTAATCTGATTTTTAACGACGGCTTCATGATTCGCTGTTTCTCAAGTTTTTATAAAACTTAGCGAACTTACCTGTAATGGAGGAAAAACTCTGATTTATCTATTTAAAATCTCTGACAACTTCAAAAAGGGTGTTTTGTCAATAATCATTGTCTGTTTACATCGATATAGTCCCATAAGTGGGCTATACAATTCAGGTGAGGATGTACGTTTTCTTTTCACTCACACACTAACATTGACTTTCAAGAAATCCGGCCAATGAAAGTTATTATCAAAATATTGACAACGCTATTTATTGTTATCATTAGTTAATGTGTAAAAAAAGTTTCTCTTTACTTTAGATTGAAAAAAAAAACAGCTTGAGTAATTAGTAAGTTAGTTCGATAAGACAGTTGCAATTTAAGATCATCGATATTTTCGAAACCTAAACAAACGAAGAGGTGACATCACTTTTCCGAGTGGATGATGTCTACAACTGATTTTATGTGCAGTACGCGAGTGATGCATATATGAATAATACTGGATCAAACAATCCCAACAGAATATACATCGGCATTTTGGACAAGTTATTTGATCACAGCCATCATTTTTCTCAATCTTAGTCTGGCATCCAGGACATTTTTTCGAATTATTTTTCATCCATTTGCGTGTCTCTGCATCAGTCTGTAGGTAAACTCGATCATATAAATCACAAGTCATGCCTTCATGCCATTTAACACGATGATACGCACATGTATCTTGTTCGCATACAATGCAAGTAATTTTTGAGTTTTCAGTTGATCCTCCATCATCATACTGACCGAAACCACATTCATGAGCACACCAAAAGAATTTATCATCGTTTCCAAGGAATCGTCTGATTAGAGAAGCATCATATTCGTTCAATGATAAATCATCACTCGCCATCAAGAGCACTTGACAAATGTCTTCTAAATTCCAATTTGCTAGACAGTCTGGCTCAGGACACGACACTTGATTACTAATAGTACTCTCGAGAATAACTTGAGTATTATAATATGTACAGGAATTGCACACATATCGGTAAATATGTTGACATGTTTCACTAAATGCAGGATAAAACTCATCTTCAGGTTGCTCGATGTAACATACGGCACATTCACGTATTGGTATAGAAATTTCACTAGAATTGTGAACACAAGCAAATACATTTTTTACGTCCCAAGCGGAAAATTTTACAAGTTCTAGGAATGGCGATTGTTTCTCCGAAAAGGTTGCAAAATCTCGAAATAAAATGCTGATGACAAAGTCAAAAGCGAGAATGACATACACTAGAGATATCTGAAGTTTTGTTCTTTTTTAATGTTCGAGATTTCCTTGTGTAGTCATTTTCCAGACACACGAACGGTTCTAACAAAAGCTGCTAGTCATGAATTTCAATATAATTGTAGTTTCATTCAAATATGATTCAATAAAGTAATTGACTGTCGAGCGATTGAACTACATTTGAAAACTCTCGGATATGAATTTCTCCTTATTAATAAGCAGACCTATTGAGTTGATAGAAGTTTTGAATGAGTAAACTAAGTATTCATTGAAAGTTTAGATAAACAAACTCATTCGTACTGGTCAATGAATCATAACGAAACAGTATCTATAGATTATTTCATCATACTTACTCTTCTTGATCTGTATTAGTTATCGCCGCCATTACCACATTGGCTTCACCAGATGTGTTTTGATCCTGTTTCACTTCATTCTACAAAATATGAACTTAAATATGTCGCAAAGAAAATTAATTAAAATCACATGTTGATAGTTGTCATGGTTTAATAGATCAGCTTCATTTGGGTTGGTTGAATGATAGGAATTGGATTGAACCTGATGCATCATGGGAGCATTTGCTTGATATTGATTGACTATAATGGAAACGAATGAATTCAAATACTCTATTATTCCACTTCTATGATACACATATTTTCTATAATTAGATGAACTTATATCAATAGCAATGTCTTTCTCATGATCTGTTATGTAGATCGTAAATGTCCTTTAGATATTAAAAATAGACGTTCACATAGAGATATTTATTTATCATCAAATCAAATTTGAATCTCACCCATATGATAACTAAACAATCATCCATAGGGAAAGGGTAGAATAAGAACAAAAATGAACAAATTTTGAAGTTCGAACAATTGATACAAGAGAAAAACGAGCGAATTCGATCAAAAGTTCTAGCTTCTTGGCATTGATTGTGTTAAAAATCTTCGTTTGACCTTGAAAACTCTTCTTGATTTTTCTCAATTGGTCTCAATATTTGGTAAAATTTATTTATATCTAGAGATATTTGCATTTCTAAGTACTACTTGAATGGAATTCTTTATTTTCAAAGAAATGTTATCTTATCGCAGATTTATCGAACAATTCCTCAAATATTTACTATGAGTAGTGCCATATCAATCTTTTGAAAAAAAACAAGTCTTTCTTTCAGTCTCTATTGTGATATACAGATAATTACTCAACGATTATTGAAAATAGATGTCTATAAATTGTTGAAAGTATCTTCGATCTTCATGTTATTTGGGAAATTCTGCGATGGATCTTAGAGCGATTGATCTACTAAACATGAAAAAGCCTAAAAAGGATCAAAAGCTTAAAGAGAAGAGCCAGAAGAGTTATTCATGAAAACTACAAGGATTAGCGGAGGATGAAACACGTCACTAAAATATGAACTCTAGAAAACAAAGAATTATGAAATGAGATTGAAATTTTCAATCTTATCCAGAAAAGTATGGCTTTTATCGATTATTTATTTTTATGTCTTTCAATCAATAAGTGACAGAGAGAAGATCGTCAGATTCTATAAAGTAAGATATACAATACATTTACTAAAATCAAAAGTCTATTTGTATATCTTCTATGGGCTAACTCTGTGATGTAAATGTGAAGAAACTGCAGTTCTAGCGTTAGAAGATTAGCCAAAATAAATACTTCTACAAGTTTTCTTTAGTGATTTCATGTGATTTACTGACCGTCTGTTTTGACCTGCCTATCCATTGTATTGGATGATTCTGAAACAGCTCAATGTGACAATAAAAATATTGCTGACTTTATTTATTTTTTTGTCTTACCAATAGTTGATGATGGCTGAACACGATGTCGTGTTTTGTGTTTTCTTCTCTTCACTGATGAATATTGATCATCAGGCGACGAATTTTTCGAATGTTTTTTTTCATATGAGTTAAAGGCATTTGTATCCATGTATCGACGTGCTGGTACTTGCGGATGATATGTGCGCTCAGTTTGTCTTGGATAACCTTCGATTGAAAATGAATGATATTTTTTTCTAAAGACAATAATAGAAAAGAACCTGTTTGAGTCGTTGCTATTGTCACTGATCCGATATCAGCTAAAAGTTGATCATTATCATAATTCTTTCCAAAATTCACACTGGACAAATAGGATTGAGCAGTGTTAAGATAATCTTGTTTAAGTTGATGAAGTATATGAGAAATATTAGTTTTTTCCATAGGATTAAAATTAGCATTTGTTATTATTAATGTCTGTTGTGAAGGAAGGCCTTCTAGTGATTTTTGCAACAATGCTCCTGAAGGATGTTGTATTGATTGAAAATAGTTTGTTGTTTCTTGAGCAATATTGAGTGGTTGCGACCTTTTTCTTGTGTCTAGTTCAAAAGTAATATTGTTGTTAGAAGCATCTAATTCATTCTGTACTCTTTTTATGGTATACTTTGCCTTACCAGATATTTGTTGTTTTGATCGATTGAGATGTATGAAATTGTCATAGGACGAAGCTATATGATAGTTTGCTAATGGATACTGATCATAATTGTATGCATGAGGAATTTGTTTCGTTCTAAGTTGTTTCACTAGTGAATAATTGTGCCCGTTTTGATAATCCATGTATGACTTAAACTCTTGACCGTGCGAAGATTGTTGTGTTGGCTGATATCCAACTGATGAAAGGTTTAGTTGGCTACTAAATATGGGTTTAAGTTCGACGGAGCGGATCCTTTCTAGAATGAAATGTTATCAAAAAGCTCAATTTTAATCCAACTATTTCGAAAAAAGAAGGAATTTCTGAGTGTGTTTCGAATAATGTTTTCAATAAGAACCTGATGGAGAACTGTAGTTTGTGCAGCGAGGAAGTGATGTTAATGGTGCATCGAATTATATATTACAGATCTTTCTAGAAAGTTTTTTTTGACAGCTTAGAGTCAAACTTTTTGGAAATTAGTGGACCGCATCTGGTCACTACAATGAATTTTCGATATTCTAAAGTATCTTAAAAGGTTAAATTAAGAAATTCAAAAAGAAATTGTGCACGATCAAGACTGTTAACTTCATTCATTCAGGAGTTACAGACATTCCACTATGAGCTCCTATGCAATTTTTTTCGTGAAAAATAGAAATAAAACTTGAGTTTTTCATTAGATTGCCATAAAGTTTTGCTTAATCACCACATTCAACTAGCTGAATTTTTGAAACAAGAAATCAATAGAAACCCTAAACTAATATGAAAGAAAAATTTGTTCTACATGATACGAAATATCGTTATATTTTTCTAACGATGAAAAGTACAGCTCCCTGTCTTGATCTTATAAAAAATTGTTTCCAAAAAAAAAAAAGACTGGTTGCTCTTCTTTTTTGAAATGAATAATAATACCTGCTGAATTTTTATGAACTGATCTACCATAATCAGGACGATTCATGATATATCTAGCAGTTGGTAATTTACTCGATGCTCTGTTGGCCATTATTTATGTGTTAAGGTGAGCACGTTGTTGGCTGAAAAGAAAAATGTATTGTTTATAACGGTATAATGCATATACATAAATAGAAATCAACGAAAGCTAGCAGTGAGAAGAGAATCAACCAAGCATGACTTTATCTGGCCCAATTGTGTATCAGTATGCGTTATTTTATCTAATACACAAATTTCACGTCGACGATCAAGCAGTTTACTATGAATCATATATTTGCTCATGCAACAGGGGGAGATACTAAAATAACTGCTTCATTATTACGAGATATAATGATAGTTTTCAAACAAAATATGTGTCCGAAAGTAACAATGTATTTTGTCGTACAGAATAAAATACTAATATGGCTATGACGTAGATATTCGAAATTTGAATTATAAGCTTATGTCGTGAAAATCATCTTGATGTTTGTGATTTCATAAAAAATCACCGTAAAAACGATGTTTAATTAGATTTCTCTGAAAGTTGAAATTCTACTTTTTTATGATTTCAACGATAAAAACAGTTGCTCAAAATCGCAACTAAAATCGAAACGATTGATTTCTATGAATCATGATTTTTGTTGATCAAGTATACATCGCGTAATAGCTCATACGGATTTAGATATGCATCAACCAATGAAAACGATATCAATCATATTAGCATCATATGTGAAGCTGTGATTTTTGCAACAGAAAAAGAATTCAATCTATATTGCCACTCTTTACATATACATATGTGCATTAGATGTATCAATGAATAGGATTAGACAACAAATTGGCGTTATTTATTGATAGCATTGCATTGTGGGGATGAAGAAAGATAATCATTTAGACTTAGGTCGCCTCTATTATAAATAGAGCAGAATGTAGAGGGGGAGGGGAGAGTCATTGTTTGAGAGTTTTCGTTCAACTTATTCACAAACTAGAGACTTATGGAGTCAAGTTTTTATAGCTTCGATGCCAACTCCGTTTTGAAAGGTTTTTACAATTCCAGCCCCGACTTCGACTCCGAAAAAACTCCGAATTTTTTTTCAAATCAAGTCAAGATTTTCACTTTGTTAATAATGATGATAAAGAAGATATTGACATTTTGGGTATTTGGCATAAACGACAGCGTTTATTTCTAACTTTATTTTCAATTGCTAGGAAAATCTTTGCAATATCGACGTCAAACACCACGATTAACACCGTTTCTCCTCATCGAAAAACAGTATCGGCTAGCGTAGAACAAATTTTGACGATGAAAAGCTTAATCAACATATGTTTTATAAAAAAAAAAAACCTAGTTTTATTCAAAGAATTTCGTCAAACTCAGAAGACCTGAACAAAAAGATCAGATTTCGATCCACTTTGAATTATGTCAAGATAATCAAGCGAAATAGTAGTTACAAAATCATGTAAAGAAGATGAAAATATATCGAATGACGAATGTAGAGATATTAAATGGCGGTGATCTTTTTTTCGCAGTCTTTAGTTGTAAAAGTTAATCTAGTGTGGATGTTTTTTGTTTTGTTTTCGTATTTTCATGTTTGGTGTTACTGAGCTATTGAATTACAAGTTCTAATTACCAAGGAGTTACGATTGGGAAAAAGATATCGCACAAGAAAAGAAAGGATGCAATAGAGTTGTTGGAGTTTCTATAATTTGTATCGGTTTCGACTCAGTCCGAGTCGGAATCGAAATCAGGTTTCGGAGTTCAGTACAGGTCTCTAACACAAACCATCATCCTTATCGAAGTTTAGATCAAGAAAAAAAATACTATATTGCAGTGCATTGCAGATCATGGTAGACATGTTGCCAAACTATTTTGAGTTTTATGGTCTTGGACTCAGTCGGTGGTGATTCTGTCTGAAACATGTTTTATTTTATGTTTTTCGATCACTCCCTGATAGACTTTCATTGTAGTAGCGTGTAATGAACTTTCAAATCTCAAAACTAAGATAAAATCTCTTTTTTGTTCTCCCAACGTACACTTTTGAATCATGTTACAAACTGGGAAATTGGTGTCTACATGTCACCGACAAAGAACACCTCCGGTTATTTAGACTGGTTTTGAAATTACAATTTTCATTTTCGTTCTAAAGTTTTGAATGCGTAGAGTTGTTGCCAAGTCTCTTGAATTTCTGCACTTCAAGTATTTGATTTCAAGAAATTTAATTAATTCCAATATAGTTGAAACTCTTCAATTGCATAAAAATCATTTTTCTTTGTACTAAGATTGATTGCTTTCTTTCATAGAGTGAAAGACATCTTCACATTTCTTGATTCCATGATATCAACTGAAGTTGTCTATTCGAAATCTTTCTATTTGAAATTGTGTAAACAAGTTTATATTTTTTCACAATGTTCATACATTGTATAAATGTTACTTGTCGCATGAAGTATCTTCATATTTGATGGCCGGTTTGTCTTCGCTAACTTTAGAAATATATATTTACCAGCCAACTGTCTAGGGCAGTTAGTATTAAACACTAATAATTAGCCAGCAACTCTCTTCAAAGAAAATGAATATTAGTATGAAGTATCAGTAAAACAATATTATATCAACGAAGTTTCTTTGCTCAACAATTGAGCATGACTATTTGATTATTATTTTGATCGAAACTATTTGAAAGTTCTAGTTTCATGCATTAACAAGTATGTCACGGAGTATAATCAAGAACCCAAATTGATAATCATGGATACTTTTCTTGCAATTGGTACGCAAACAGACTTGTACATAAATAGGTTCCTTTGATTTATTTATTAGCCATTCTATAACATACCCAGATGAATCAATATAAGTCCTTTGAGTATGGTTAAATTGAGTGAACGTCTCTATCAACTCTTGCGTCAATATCTCGAACAACATAAGACCCAAAAAACTGTTTGTGTTGTACCAATGACGACTACTTAGATTTAGCGACAAAATCAGTTATGATTATATTCATGTATGCACCATTTATCCACATCAATAAATATCTACTTTGAGCTTTCTGTATATCATGTACTTCTCGAATCGGAACTGTAAAGGTTGATGCAACTTTGGCAGAAATAAGACCCATTGATAATGGAATATTATTGATTCTGTATGGCCTATTCGATGAAAAGTGCTTTATTCTGCTTATTTCATGCGATTGACCCATACTTTTACAGTAGATAGATAATATCATGAGGTTAGTTGATAAAAAGCTCAAGTAAAATAAATAACCCCTGTTGAGCAATAGATATTGATTGAAACGTTAAGAACGTCACATGTGGGTATTGTGTGAATAGCATAGCGAAATTTTTTATGAGCGCACACTTTTGTAGATTGTTGTTTTATTTTTATTTTAATTAATTTAGAAAATAACAGCTTATCATAATCACTTATTGAACACGTTCCTAAAATATAGAGAAACAATCAAGGTTATACACAAATGTAAGAAGAAAAAATTAAATCCTACAGATTATTCGAAGAAAAATTTCGATTTAGCAATGAAATGATATTCTGATAGTGAAACTCGAATAGAACATTGTGCTTCTCTTCATATGAACTCATTTTTACTTCTAATAAACTTAAAAATAAGTCCTTCAATCAGAAACATAATTTATCGAATTAAACACATGTGTTTAGAATTTAGTGAATGTATTTATGAAGAATATTATTTAACAATGATATCCAGTAGTCATCGAGTATTCGAAGCTTAGGTTTTATCGTTTCATTTATCTATGAAGTATTGCAAATAAATATGTCTTCATTTTATCCACTAAAACAAATATGTAAGTATTAATGAAGACCAGCTTAGTTGTAGGGCACGGAGCTAGGATAGATCGTCGCAGGACATAATGTCGCATGGAAAAATCGTTGCGGCCAAAATGTTGTGATATTTTATAGGACAAAATATCTGTGCATCATCAACTAATTTTGTAGAAAGCAACAATAAAAAGTCAAAAAAAATAATGAGAAACGTCTTCAGTTTCGCGAAAGAAGTTGAATACTGAATTGAAAAAGGACTGATACATACATCAAATCCACAAAAGATTTTTCTGTAGACATATCTGAGAAAATGTGGATAAAAACTCTATTAAATTATGTATATAACAAAGCAGTTTGCAAGCATATATGAATTCTTCGCATTTAGGTACAAAAATTTTATTTCCATGACAAAATCTGAAAGATTTCGATACGAAAGATTCTTCTAGCGCAATATTGAAAAGTTTCTGAGAGTTTTGTAAATGTGTCAGTACTTTTTTTTCAGTTTAGTGGTTGATTTCTTTCAGAAAGTCTAGTCTTTTCACTTTTTATTATTGCATCCTACAAAAATTAGTTGATGATACACAAATATTTTACATAATAGAATATTGCAACGTTTTCTCCGCAACTATTTTCCCTTGCAACAAATTCTTCGTGACGAATTGCCCGTAATGATTTGTTCTGCGACGACCAGACTGGTCACCATGAAAGATAGATATATTTTATTTTGTTTGGAATTTAATTTAGTATTTATTTTTAAATTCCAATACAGATAAATTATCAGTGTAATATGAACTTTTGGTTTATTGTCATTTATATCAAAGCTTAATTTGAAGATTTTTTAAATGTTCTTTATAGGTATTAATGAAGAAATGAAAATAATGCCAAAGACAGAGAAAAAACTAAAACAAAAGAATGAAAATAAAGATGAAGATATTCCTGAGTTGAGTTTGAGATTAGAAATAATGTCGTATGTTAAGAATATTTTGCTTTTATTGCATAGATGAAAATGATGAGGAAAAAGGTACGATGACAGTTGATGATTTCTTCAATGTAGGTAAATTACTTAACAAATGATGCAGATGGTAAAAGTATGAATTAAAATTATGTTGGAATTCAAACTAAATTTATGAAAATAAAAGATAATTGTAAACATGAAATCAAATTCAAATGGTAATCATGATGATCTTATCGAGTTAGATAATTCTATAATAAACAATCGATTGTATCTATTTCTATCTATAGAATAAAACTTTCTTCGCAATTTGAAATGTAATATTTTTCTTTTATTTTACGTTCTATTTCTGTTCAACTGATTTCATCTGAAAAAATGAACACTTGTAAAAATTGTTTTATAGAATTGTATCTCTTTGTTAAAGTCAATTGAAGACGAAAATCTTTGAAAGTTAAGACAAGCAATGATATTGATCAAAGCAAAAAAAGATTTTTTTTGTTTGTATCGTATTGGACAAGTGTGTCTAAGAAGATGGCAAAATGAATAAGAAGAAAGAACTCTATATCGATTATGTTGTTTCTCACGAAAAAAGTCTCGCTAAATGATAAATCGATTCTGACATGAATCTTACTTACTGAAATAGGTTCTGTCGATACCTGAGAAAGTCTGAAAAGATTCATGTTCATCAGTAGTTCTTTTTATATTATGGCCATTCTAGTGAACTATTTTTATAGTATCCTATGATCTAGCTTAGATTACATTCACCATCAACTTTCGAATTCGAACTTTGTACAAATGAAGTTCTCAATGAGAATAGTGCTATGTGACAGGATTAGACTTTTCTAGTGGCTATTATCTTCAGGCACGGGATATTGAATATTTTTTTTATGAGCACACAAATCATTGCTTCTATATATATATTTGATGAAAGAACATATTAAAATATCTAACATTGTCAAAATGAACTAATGCTATTAAGAACTTTATTTGTGCTATGTTTGATTTGAAAACTTGATTCTAAAAAATGAGTCGAGCAGAGCTCTGATTTATGTTGGCAAATTTACTAAAGCAACCATAACTCAAGAAATACCTATGAACACGAAACCTTTCAGTTTTTTTAGTCTGACTAGGGCTTATCTAATGAGATAAGACTCATCCTGGGACAAATTTATTCCTGAGTAAGGTTCTGTCGTGAGAAGAGTTAGTAAAGAGATGAGACCATGCGTATTTTATTCGTTTTTGGTTGAAGAAGTATCAGATATCAATCAAGAATTGTTCGAAGTAAGAATATTAAACAAAGAACATATAGGTATTGTCTAAAAAAACTTCCATTCAAATGTAATTCAATAAAATAATTGACTGTCGAGCAACTGAACTACTTTTGAAAGCGTTTGTATATGAATTTCTTGTTATTTATAAGCAGAACTATAGAGTTGACGTTTTGAATGGTGAACTAGTTATTTGTGGAAAGTTTAGACAAACACGATAATTCTTAATAGTCAATGAATTACAATGAAACAGTAGCTATAGATCATTTTGTAATGATCACTTTTCTTGCAGAGACGCAGTTTTCGCTACCGCCATCGCTACATTGGCTTCACAAGGTGTATTTTGATCTTGTTGATGATATGTATCCTTAATTTGTCTTGTATAATCTTCGATTGAAAATGAATGATATTTTTTTAAGATTAATAATGAAAAAGAACATGTTTAGACAATGTCTATAGTTGTTGATTCGATATCAGTTAAAAGTTGATTATCTTCATAATTGTTTTTAATGCTCATACAGGATACATAGGATTGAGCAGTATTAAGATAATCTTGTCCAATAAGATGGAGTATATGAGGAATGCCAACGTGTCCCATATCACTAAAATCAGTATTTATTATAATTGATGTCTGTGGTGGAGAAAATCTTGCTAGTGATTCCTTCAACAATTCTTCTAGAGGATATTGTATTGATTGAAAATAGTTTGATGAGCAATGTTAACTGATTGTGATCTTTGTCTTACGTCTAGTTCAAAAGCAATATTATAATTAAAACCATCTAATTTACCAGGTACTCTTTGTATGATATATTTTGGTTTATCAAATGTTTGGTTTTTTGATGGACTGATATGTATGAAATTATCATGCGATGAAGATATTTGATAGTTTCCTAATGAATGATGATAATAATTGTGTGCAGGAGGGCTTTCTTTCATTGTAAGTAACGCCACTAATGAATAATTACATGCATCTGTTGGTGAGGGTTGTTCAGGTATTGTTTTATCATGAACTTTACCTGTTGCTAGGCTATTATTTGATACTTTCAATGCTGTAGTACTAAATGGTTAAAAAGATTTGCTTTTCAATTATTTTTTAAAGAAATTAATTCTTACAAAAATGTGTCCATTTTTTGAAGCCTAGGAACATTTCTATCATGGTCTTGATGGTTTGCATTTTGATAATTCATGTATGACTTTAATTCTTGATCGTGCGGAGATCGTTGTGGTGACTGGTTTTCAAACGATGAAAGGCTTAATTGACTATTAAATATGCGTTCAAGTTCGACGACGCAAGTCCGATCTAAAATAAAATATTATCAACAAGCTCAATTTTAATCGAGCTATATCCAAAAAAAAAAAAAAGATTTCTGAACGTATTTCGAATAGTGTTTTCAATAAGAACCTGATGGAGAATCGTCGTTTTTACAGCGAGGAAGTGACGTTAAAGATGCAGCGAATTACATATCACACACTTTCTAGAGAGTTTTCATGAGAGTTTAGAATCGAAGTTTTTTAGAAACTAGTGCACCATGTTTGGTCACTACAGTGATATTTTGATATTCTGAAGTACCTTAGAACTTTAAATTGAAAATTCCAAAAAAGAAACTATGAATGATCGAGATTTTTGCCTTCATTCATTCAGGATTTACGGACATTTTACTATGAACTGCTACTCAATTTTTTTCCATGATAAATAGGAAAAAATAGAGCTTTTCATTATATTGTCATGAAGCTTTGCTTAATCAACGCATTTAATTAGCTGAATTCATGAAACAGGAAATCAATAGAAACCCTTACTAACATGGAAGAAAAATCTGTTTCATGTTATACGATATATCGTTATATTTTTCTAACGATAAAAGCTACAGCTGTCTATATTACTCTTATCAAAAATTATTTGTAAAAACACTGATTGCTCTTCTTTTTTAAAATGAATAATAATACCTAGTGGGTGTTCATCAACTAATATATCATAATCAGGACGATTCATGTTATCTCTAGCAATGAGTAATTTATTTGAATCTCTATTGGTCATAATTTATGTGTTAGTATGAGCGCATTGTTGTTTGAAAAAGAAATTGACTATTGACAACGGTATGATGCATATACATAAATACTAATCAGCACGAGCAGTGAAGACAAAATCAACCAAGCATTACTTTATTGGGCGTCAGTTTTCATCATCGTACGTGATTTTATCTAATACATGTGCTTCATGTTGACGAGCGAGCAATTTTCTATGAGTCATATATTTGTTCATGCAAAAGGAACAGACATAAAAAATTGCTTCGTCATTACGAGATAGAATGGTAGTTTTCAAACAGAATATGTGTTCGAAAGTAACAATTTTTTTTGTCATACAGAATAAAATACTAATATGGCTATGACGTAGATATTCGAAATTTGAATTATATGCTTATGTCTTGAAAATCGTCATGATGTTTGTGATTTCGTAAAAAGTCACCGTAAAAACTGTAATTAATCAGATTTCTCTGAAAGATATAAGATGAAACTCGACTTTCTTATGATTTCAACGGTAAAATCAGTTTCTCAAAATCACAGAAAAAATCGAAATGATTGATTGCTATGTATCATGATTTTTGTTGATCAAGTATACGTCACGTAATATCTCATAGGTGATTTAAATATTCATTAACCAATTAAAACAATATGAATCATATTAGCATCATATGTGCAGTTGTGATTGTTGCAACGGGATAAGAATCTCATATATGTTGCAATCTTCACATATATACATATCTGTAACATAATATTGTAAATAGAAGACAATATGGGTGGATTAGTGTTTAAGGGTCTTCTTTCAGCTCATACACAGATTCTCATCCTTATTGAAGTTTAGATAAAAAAAAAGGAGATACTATACTATATCGCAGTTCACCGCAGATCATGGTAGACATGTTGGAAAACTATTTTGAATTTTCGAGTCTCAGAATCTTTAGCTTTAATAGATTTTCAGACATTCAATTCTACTGAAATTCTTAATTCCGGAGTAAATGGCATTTTCATGCTTACGTTGCAACCTTTAGAACTTTGTTAGGGATAGAAACATATATGTCCAAAAAAACTACTTGTCTATGACGTGCTATGTAGCGGCGGCGCCCGGAGTGGGCTGGAGCGGGCCAAGCCCACCGGAACGCTAATTGAACCAACCCTAAAAAGTCTTTCTTATTGACATTTTCAAGACAGTTTTTTTTATTACATAAACGAGACGTTGCACAATGTGCAGACGTTTTCTATAATTAAATCGGTGTTTAATTGTAAATCGTTTCTAATGCCCCTCAATTATGAAAGAAAGTCTGTTGACGTCAAGTGCATATCCAAATACTAACTGAATGATAATGCCTCTCAGAAAAACAGTGACATTATTAGCTATTTGAAGAAGATATATTCTCCACATGAAGTGTAATGAACTGTTATACTTGAAAACGAATGTATAACAACGATCTTTTCTGATTTAATGCGCCAAAGAACATTGAATCGTTGAACCATACAGATAATACCTGATATCATATCCAGTGGCCATAATTCACTTCATAAAAAGCCTTTCACTATATGTAGAGTGCTTGAAAAAATCATGTACCGTTAGGAAGGTCTCTACATATAAAAATTGACCATTGGTTCTTTAAAAGTAAACCTTCACCCTTTTACTGTAACTCAATGCTTGAAAATTCTGTTGCTTCGAATAAATATAGTGCAGAATCGTCGAAATCGATAACTCCTCAAAAATTCAAATAAAACTTTCGAAACATTTTGCTCGATGTAACAGATATGTATCCTTCAAAAATGTCTCAGCTTCGTCTTTCATCATTGTAACTAGAAGCTGCTTTCAAGTTAAACTGAGTAACGTTCTTTGGTCACTTGGTCGACAAAGCTAATCACATTAGGAAAATTGTTTTTCAATAATCTCAGACAGAAGGTTAAAGACAATATCACGTAACAAAGTCAAGAAATGGAAATTTATCATCCAAGTATGCTTTTGCAGTAGCTTCTTTTTGGTAAACAGAAATTTCAGTTCGTTAGATCTTCTGAAAAAAATCTTTTGGTTTTAGATTAAAGAACGAAAGAAAGAAAGTAATTAATTTCTTTGAATAACTATAACAATCAAGGATCTGAGATGCTATCTAGAGGAGAAAGAAAAGATGACTGAAGGGGAAGAGCGATCGTACACGAAAGATGGTTTATGTAGATCATATTCAGTAGCATAAAGCTAAGTTTCGCTCGGTTATGTTGTGAAAAATCGAGAAAAATTGTTCAAAAGGACATGATTGCTACCTCGTCTTCACTTCGACTTTAACTGCTGAAAACTGCAGCATCATATTTCTATCAGTGCCCCGATTGTAATTTTCTTTCAACTTTGTTGTAGGGAAGACTTGTGAAAAAACTAATTTTTTGCTATCTATTATTTATAAAAACTCTGAGTGGGCTGAGCCTATCCTAACGAAAAATTCTGACGCCGCTGCTAATGCTATGATTAATATGTCAACAAGTGATTATTAGATCTTTTTGTACTTATTCGATTCCAACATTTTGTATGACCAAACTAATTTTCCGTTAGACCGCAACATCTAGCATCTACAAAATGGTAATTAATTCCTTTCAGTCGACGATCACTCTGTCTGAAACATTTTTTATTTTATGTTTTTCAATCACTACTTGATAGACTTTCATTTTAGTAGCATGTAATTAACTTTCAAATTCGTAGATTGATTACCCTTGCAAACTCATCATGATTTGTCGAGCATTTAATAATATTTATACTGTTTATTGAAAATCTTTCTGGCAATGTACACATGATATAGAGATAAATAAAGATGAGCTCTTTGACATCATCATGTAAGTAATATATGCTATAATCTTTGACGTAGCTTTTGATGTTCGACATTCATAGAAAAAGTCTAAGCCTTGATTGAAAACGAACTTCTTGAGTAATGATTAAATTAGTTCAATAAGACTGTTCCGATTTAAGATCTTTACTACCTTCGAAGCCTCAAAAAACGAACTGGTGAAATAAGTTTTCTAATTCGATTATGTCTACAACTAATTTTATGTTCAACATGCGAACGGTTTCTATATCGAGTATAGTCGACCAGACAATCCCAACAGAATTGATATCCACATTTTTGACAAGTAATATGATCACAACCACCGTTTTTTTCAATATTGCACTGACATCCAGGACATTTTTTTGCATTATGTTTTATCCATTTGCGTGTTCCTGCATCAGTTGTTACGTACAACCGATCATATTGATCACAGGTCATGCCTTCGTGCCATTTAACACGATGAAATATACATGTATTTTTTCTGCAAACGATGCAAGTAATTTTTGCGTTTCTAGTTGGTCTTCTATTATCATATTGACCGGAACCACATTCATAAGCACACCAAATAAAGTTATCATCGTTTTGGAGGAAACGTCTGATTATATGAGCATCATATTTTTTCAACAATAAATTGTCATTAGTCATCAAGAGCACTTGACGAACCTCGTCTGAATTCCACTCTGCCAAACAGCCTATCTCAGGACAAGTTACTTGACTACTAATGATACTATTGAGAATAACTTTGATACTAGAGTATGTACAAGAATCACAAGTATAACGGTGAATATGTTGACACTTTTCACTAAATATATGATAAAACTCTTGTTCCAGTTGCTCAACGAAACATACGGCACATTTGCGTGTCGGTGTACAAATTTTACTACAATTGAGAATATTCAAATAAACAATTTAAATTCTTTGTAACAGTGAATAGCTATCAATGATAGCAAAGTAGAAAATATTCGAGGCACTTTTCATTTGCAAAAAAAAATCTACGTGCAAACATGACGGAGAATTACGTAGTGATCCGTCTGCTTTTCACATTTCGACATGAATGAGTGAGTGACTATAAGAAAATATATTCTCTAAGTTCAAAGTCAAAACTTCTACGAGTTCTAGGGATAGAGATTGTTTGTTCGCAAAGATTTAAAAATCTCAAAACAAGATGCTGATAATTGTCTATATGAATATCTTCTCATTTATAAGTAGAGCTATAACGTTGAAGTAAGCTTTGAGTGATGAACTAATTATTCATTGAAAGTTTAGACAAACATGATCAATCG